GATGAATGTTGCTTGGATTTGGGATAATCCAAGTATTCTATCAATGACATATTGATAGGAGGAGTTTGGTTAAACTCCGGGGAGTTAAGGTTAACTCTGGTAGTCATCAATTAGTTGTCATCATAAAAAAGTGGGAGATTATTGAATCTCGAATTTTGATGATGAAACTAATTGATTATGTTTAGATGTTTAACTGCATTTTGAGTGATGCAGGTCTACTCGATCAGGATTAGACAGTTGATGCAGGAGGAATTGACATTGCGCCGGAGGAGATCACGTCAGGATATTGGACGGCAGAACGCTTCGGACGTCGGGCATTGGGCCAAGGAGAGCGGAATTGCGCCAAGGATATCAGGGTTGCGGAGGTCAACCGCCGATTGGGCAACAAGGTGCAAGAGAGGACGATGCACTGAAGAATCGGACGAAGCGCTAACCAATGACGTGCCGGGCAACAGAATGTCAATTCGCATTATAATAATTGTCTAGATCGGAGTGGAGTTTTGGTTTGTGTGTGCAGGATTAACTACGATAACGATGAAGACATAAAGTGAAACAAAGTGTCGGAGTCAAGCGCGAAGGATTCGTTGAGAGTTCGAGAGTCCGACGAAAGTCCGAAGGTTCGTCGGGAATGCTGTCGGAACTAGCCAAGAATGAGTAGGGAGCTTGCCGAAGGGTTTTCGGAAGCTCGCCGGAAGGTACATCGGAAGTTCATGGAGCTCGCCGAGAAAGATCGTAGCTTGCCGAAGAAGCTCGTCGGAACTCGCCAAGATCAAATCGTGAAATCTAGGAGCTTGCCGGGAGTCCGCAGAATGGTTTCCGAGAGTTTATCGGAAGACCGTCGGAAGTTCGCCGGAAGAAGTCTTGACTTACGAAATTTATAATAGCTTAGTAAATGCCTTTAAATTCGTAGTTAGCACGTTAATTAGTGTTAAGATTATGTGTTAATCTTATAACCCAAGTAGGGGTCAATTGGGCTCGAGTTCGGACTGGTTTGGGCCAAGTTTGGAGCCCAACCAGTGAGCTGAAATAGTGTAGGCGGTGGCACCGCCCAGCACCCGAGAGTTTGGGCGGTGGCACCGCCCAGAACCCGAGAGTTCCAGCGGTGGCACCGCCAGAACTCTGTCAATGTTGAAATTGATAGGCGGTGGCACCGCCAGCCTTGGAAACCCAAGAGAATTCAAAATTTGGAGCCCAAATTTGAATCCTCTTGGGACCTATAAATACCCCTTAATTCTCAGCTGAGAATACAACCTTTGTGAAGTTAGAGATTGAGATAAAGCCTTAGCAAAGTCTTCAGCAAGTCTTGTTTTCAATAATTTAAGTGTTCACCTCCCTCAATCTCTTTGAAAATCTGTAAAAGTGTGAACCACTTGTAAAAGGTTGTAAGAGGGGTATTTGTCCTTTCCCTTCAAAGTGATTTGCTAGTGGAAGTTGGGAGCCTCATCGAAGAAGGCTTCGCAAGTGAATGTAGGTCATTTGACCGAACCACTATAAAATTGGCGTGTTCTCTGATTTGCATTTACTTATTGCTATTTACCTTACTGCAAACCTTCATACGTGCTTTACTTCCTCATTACTTTTGCTGCACACCTTTACAAATACGCTTTCAAGTTAAGCACTTCCGAGTTCGGTTTTTATCGTACAAAAGATTTTTCAAAACCGACGTTTTAATCCGCTGCACTAATTCACCCCCCCCCCCCCTCTTAGTGCCGCTCCGATCCTAATAGTAAGAAGGTAATAAGTGAAGTTTTATCTATGCTTTCGTTTTGATGTAGTAGATTTAACTTGGTTTGGTTTAATTTTTTAATCTTATTAAATTTAAATTTGGGAAGACTCGTAGGTAACTTAGTTGCTGATGAAGTATTCTTATATCCAAGAAAAATTTGACATGTTCAATTTTCTAAAATTGCATATGCTTTTCGATATTCTAAATGTTTTTGTTTTTGTTAGACACATTATCATGTGGGGATGCTTTGTCCAATTAGGACCCTCGTATATTTATATCCTCGATAGACATATCATATACAATAAGTTATTTATTTTATTAGACATATCAAATACTCAAATACTTATATCTTAGAGGAATCATCTACGGAAAGATGCTTTGTCAGGTTAAGGTGTATCGGGTTCTTTGACATTTATATCCTAGGTAAATATATCATACATGAAAAAGATGTTTTAGCCGATTAGGATGCACCAAACACTCTCTAACACTTTTATCTAGATATATTAGGCGTAAGGAGATGCTCCAGCTAATTATGGTATATAAATGATTTGAATACTTACGTCCTAAGTGGATGTATTCATACATAATATAATGGTTTGCCTAATTAGAACTCATCAAACTCTTAGATGCTAATGTCCTACTCGAACATATCATGTATAAGAAGCTATTTTGACTGCTTAGAGTACGATTTATAGTTTAATGCTTATATCATAGGTGAACATATCATGCACAATAAGATATTTTTTCAAATTAAGGTGCATTAGATGCTCTAAACCCTTTTGTTTAAAATGGACGTATCAGACATAATGAAATGTTTTTCCTAACTAAGTTGTATCATAATATTTTGGATACTTATGTCCTAACTATCATGTGTGAGAAGGTGATTTGCCTGGATAGAACACATCAGGTGATTATGTTTTTGATGGATGCTTCATGTATGGAAAGATATTTTACTTAATTATGATATATTAGAATCATTAATATTTATATCTTAGGTGAGTACCTAAAAAAAATTTATTTTACCCGATTAAAATACATCAAATACTCCAAACATATTTATCCACGATGGATACATCAAGATGGATACATCGGGTGCAACGAGATATTTGAAGTAATTAAGGCAAATCAAGGAGCATTGATGTTAATGTCTTAGACGGACGCATTTGCTTTACCTGAAAAAATAATATTTCAAAAACAAAACAAAATTATAGCCTGATTGCTATGAGAATAAAGAAGTATGTCCATGCAATGTGGAGGTGAATCCAGCTTTCATGACATAGCAAATAGATATAAGGAGTCCAAACATTTGGAGAAGGTTAATCTCCGTTGAGAATACTGAAGTTGATACTTTCAGATTGAACAGAATTCCATGAGAAATTTGTCAACAACATATGCAATAACATGGCAGCAATAGTGCACTAATAACTACAACATGGTAGAAGTTTTGCTCATCATGCAGCCATTGTTACATTCACCAGAATCTAAAAGCTACAATATGGTAGAAGCAAGGAGCAACGACAATCGACCGCATCCAGTGCGGTGGCGATTGAGAGCACAGATCGAGCGACGACAACGGTGGAGAGCGTAGGTCGAGAGTGGCGGTGGCGGTCGAGAGCACAGGTCAAGTGATGACGACGGTGGAGAGCGTAGGTCGAGAGTGGCAGCGGCGGTCGAGAGCACAGGTCGAGCGATGACGATGGTGGAGAGTGTAGATCGAGAGTGGCGGTGGCAGTTGAGAGCACAGGTTGAGCGATGATGACAGTGGAGAGCGTAGGTCGAGAGTGGTGACAGCGATCGAGAGCATAGGTCGAGTGGCGACAATGATCAAGAGCATAAGTCGAGCGACAACGACAGTGGAGAGCGTAGGTCAAGAGTGGCGACAGCGATTAAGAACACAGATCGAGCGACAACGACAGTGGAGAGCGTAGGTCGAGAGTAGCAGTGGCGGTCGAGAGCACAGGTCAAGCATCGGTCGAGCAAGAGCGTAAAGAAAGAGGAGAAGAAAATAAATGGTTAGGTTAAAGAATGTATATTTAATAATTAAAAATAAAAAATATTATTTTTTTCGTCGATAAAATTAATAACATAAAAAAAATTTGGGTTAAATGTTTTCTTTTCGCAAGTATAGAGATCTAATTCTTCTTTAAATCATTGCTTTTTTAGAAAATGATTGTGAGTTTACATCGATTATTGGCATACTTGACCTAGAGTTTTTCGGGGCGCTCAAAACTAAGTTGGAGATGATGCATAGGAGGACCTTCAAGTTGTGGTTGATGAGACATCGGATCCTAGGTAACTGCAACCTGTGCTAAGCATGCAAGAAGTGTAAAATAATTTGCATCATCATCTCCATCAAAAACTTTAACATATGGGGGAAGAAGTATGATCCTATAAGGTGACTTGATTGAATGTAGTGTTTTTGTGTTTGAGAAAGATTTGATTCATCTAATTTCTATCTAAATGAATGTATCCAGCAATGCTCTTCTTATGTTTAAGTTAGTTTGTTGGATAAGAAAAGTTGGAAAGAATGTTGAGAGTTTAACTTGTGAAATGAAGATGTCCTCTGGTTATTTATTACATTTGTTTATGTCATGTTGACATGACATGCTTTGCTGTTTGTCGTAGATTTAACCATAATTATCATTTCAATTACCTATTGCGGTTCTTTAAACTTCTTTAGATCTTTCATTTAAATATATTTTATATGTTGCGGTTCTTTTTTCAATAGATTTTCCCTACAATATTTCTAGTAATCATTTTTCCATTAATTATAGTTTCAATCTTTAGATCAGTCCAATAGTTTGAAGTGCTCTTTGAAATATTTTATTAATCGATCAAGTATCAATATGAAAACACATCTTAATACAAATATACAATGTTTATTTCAATTTTATTATTATTTTATCAAATCATATCACACGATACAAGTTGACGTATCAACCGATATATCGATATCATACTGGTCTGACAAGTTAGAAGAACCACTTGTTGTGTTAACAGGTTACCGAGTCTGTGACAGCAAACATCTACACTCAATCCAATTATTCATGTTATAGTACTGCTTGTTTGAGATCAGTCTACATGACTTTAGTCTCACAAGCATTCAGCCTTAGATATGGAGTAGCAGCAGGTTAAACTCTTGGTTTCATCTCAATTTGCTTCATGACATAAACAGAACATGAAACTATGAGGACATGCAATGCTTCATAACCAGCAACACAATGATCCTCATCTCCATTTGTAATCGAGATGGAGGTAAACATGGCAGAGAAACTAGAAATCAAACGACAAGAACAGCTTCATGACCATATTTCATTCAGAATACAACTGTAACGGCAGCAGCTAAGTCCAAAAAGTTCTCAATCATAATAACTTAATATTGGCTGTCATCATCAGCTACCACTAACTAGAAAAAAATAGATCAAATGACGACGCTCATTGCATTTCATTCTTCACCAAAGCATTTCGACCTGGACGAGGAGAAGAAAGCAGTTTCGAACTTGGATTATTCACTAACCAATAATATCGGATGGCACAAAGGCCATCAGTGCAAGGTTGCCCAGCATCTGGAATTTCTCGATCCATTGAGGTTGTAGTGTAAACAAATTGGGCCAGCAAAAGTATCACCTAGCATACAAAAGCTCCAGCAAATGAAACATTTGTGGCACATTGACCAACAAGGCAACTGAAGCAGAAAACTGACCTTGAGTTCAGACAATCCAGTGGTCATCCGATTGTAGACATCAGTGAATCCGAGTGGAGTCAAAAAAAGAGGTTTGGAAGGGTGCTTTAAGCAGCTGAAACTCCTGGAACTCACCGATTTGCAGGTGAACTGGCAGCATCATCAGATGTTCCAGTGGCTGCTCATCTTGCAAGATACCTGCCGTTGAATCAGCCATGTTCACTGCAGGCTGAGTGGTACTCGCATTCTGTGTATTTACAAACTTCATAGAACTTGGTCCAGCTAACCAAGAATCATTTGACAGAAGAGAGAGAGCACGCCGAAGATCCGGTGTTATGTTCGTGTTAGATGCAAATGCAGATGCTTCCAGATCTGTAAAGCATAAGAACATCACTTTATTTAACCTTGATTGTACAAACTTCAAGGTCAGCTTGAAAATGAAAACCACTACATCTAGATCAGTACAAGGGAGTGTGCATCCATCATAGGTAACCAACTAAAAAGAATGGCTTCTATACATAACTTCCCTGTTACGGATAGGCTGAATGGATGGATGTCTTCACATCAGTCGACCATAAAAAGAAGATCAACCCTATCCATCTAGGGACTATCAATAATATAAGCAGTCTTGTCCTTAAAAACAAAGAAGCGGTTTCCCTAACTCAAAACCCTTATCACTGAGGTCACTAAGTAGTAACCTTACTTTTGCACTCATGTTCATCTTCTATTCAATCACCAATATCCAAAATAGAATTCTGTACATTGAACTGTCACATAATGGTAGTTTCTTGTTGTCCATGACAAAGAATGAGCAAGTGAAAGCACAACAGAGAACTTCAAACTGTGACAAGCAATCAAATGAAGTTTGCAGTGTTCATAAAGAAATGCTGCGAGGATTCAAATATAGCTGGCATCCTCCAAATCAGTCAGTAACTAGAACGGAAAATGTCAGTGCTGTTCCATACCAGCAACTCAACAAACATGAAGAGTAAATTATCGTGACAGAGTACGAATTATTAAGATTGTGAGAAGCAAGTATACAAACATCAGATGAAGCATTTTTGGAGTATTGAGTGTCAAAACCCAGAAGGAAATGGAAGCAGTTGTAAAAGGTCCAATAAACAAAGAATTGATCCTTGTAATAAATAAACATGTAAGATCTGGTAGACAATTTACACGGATATACTGAAAGATTAGTTGAATCCTCAAAAGAACCAAATGATGTCAAAGAGTTTGTATTTGAAATACAACTAAAGATGTCCTATTAAAGAATTGTGTCAATCTTGACTAGATGAAGCAATATGGGTTTGTTGAGTGTCAATACCAAAGGGAAAGAATTAAACATTTAAGATCCAGTGGACAATTTACATGGATATACCAAAAAGTCAATGAATCCTCGGAATAACCAAACGGTATCATGACATGAAAGAACCTGTATTTGGAATACAATCTAAAAAGAGACAATAGAACAATCCAATTCTCATAATTTATAAGCAACAGAAGGAATGCAGGATTCCAAGGACTACTGGATCTAGGCAGCATCATGGTATAACAGAGGTTTGTAGATTCTATCATATGCTTGAGTGTGAATTGGACATCATCATCAACTAGTTGCTGCTTAGCAGCATCTCTTTGGGGATCGACTTAGATAGGATGATCATGGAAACATGATCAAATGCAGAAATAATGCATCATGCAGCATAGGTCTCATCTTAGGCTTCCTGCAAATAGTATCAGGTCTGGGGTTCGAGCATATTAACTAAAAACTGATACTTTATATTTAAATTTTAATTGATAAAGTTCTTTAGGAGCCTCAAGGGGTTTGGTTGACCGAGTGAGTGCTAATATGTAAATCAAGTCAGCTGGTAATTCCTCCCTAAAAATCAACTAGAAGATCTTAACTAGATTTTGATTCTAGGCCAAATATAATCGAAAAACAAAGACTTTACATGGTTTCCCACTTTGTTTGGACTTCAAGTTCTAAACTTTGAAAATGTCAAGTCCATTGATTGATGTTTCACCTGATCGGTATGAAATGGGTGGTATATATCAGTCTGGACATGAATTGACTACTGCCTTTCTGGATCAGTCCAAACGGGAATTGGCACATGGACTACCGCCTTTTTGGATCAGTCCGATCCAGACCTTTAAAAATAATTAAAAATAGGCATCCGCGAGCCCTCTTTTCCCCGAATGCAAGCCCTCATTTCTCCTCGTATAGCTGCTCATCACTACTCATCGTCTGCCCCGCTGCCCTCAAGAATGCTTCGTCCTCTTCCTCGTCCTTTATTGTCTTCTTCCTCCTCTTCCTTCATTGCTTCTTCTTCTTCCTTTCTCTTCCTCCTCCTCCTTATGTTTCCTCCTCTTCCTCCACCACCTTCTATTCTTCTTTCCTCTTCCTTCCTCCTTAGTTTTCCTCTTCTCCTTCTTCATCTTTAAAACACCAATACATACTGATGTATCATGTGTCAGGACATCAATACTGACTGGAACATACCTGTCCAGTCATGGTCCAGTATACAAAACAACAATCCTTAGTCAAGTCTCAATCTAAAGAGGTGTTATTTGCCGTACCACGTGTCAGTACACCAGTACTGACTGGTACATACTGGTCCAGCCATGGTCCGGTATACAAAACAGCAATCCCTAGTCAAGTCTCGATCTAAAGAGGTGATACTTGTGGATCATAAAGTACCATCATAGTGAAATAACAACATATTTTTCAGGGATGCAAACCTTTTCTTCACCCTTTTCCTGTATAACAACATAGTGAAATAACAACATACTTGGTTTGGTTTCTTTTCTCTCTCTTAGCTCTTCTAATATCTCTTTTTCTAATATTGCATCAGCAGTATAAAGAATCAAGTAGCTAGGCACCCCTTATTTTAATTTCTATTTGAACCAGTCTTAAAACCAAAAAAATATATTTATCTATCTTCCCTTTTCCTCTCTTAGCTATATTATCTTTTCCACTAACACTTCTACTACTAATTAGATAGCAAAACAGAATCTGTATTTCAATTCATATATCAGCCAAAATCAGATAGGACAGCTTCCTGCTCTACCCGTGTAGATTTTGACAGCACCAAAATTAAAAAGGCTAGACGTAGATATTAATTGCAAATTTTGCAGAAAATCTCATTGGCTAGAGAAAATATCTTACATTCGAAAGTATCAATGGTGATGCATTCGAAAGTATGAAGCTAAAACTGTTTGTCAAAATCATAGTAAAGAAAGAAACATATTCCAAATGCAACATAGAAATTCATAATTAGCATAAAACTGCAAAAGGAATATATCAAGTTAAATGAAGAAATCCCGATCTGATCAGCATGATCCATCTTTGCATTTCAAACCTAATATCTGCAAATATATTCCCAACATAGATATAGAAATTCATAATTAGCATAAGACTGCAAAAGGAATATCAAGTCAAATGAAGAAATCCTGATCTAATCAGCACCCTCCACCTTTGTATTTCAAACATGAATAATTGCAAATTAGATTGATGATGCAATGCATTCTATGTAACAAAGCTCTGACATAGAAAAGCAACTAATTGTTCCATTTTCACATACTTAGCTTATGCTCATCAACAACTTAAAATTATGTATTATTTATGCAAATGTTTTCATTTAGACTGTCATTGATCTGAAAGTTGATATTAAAAGTAATATGTCTTTCACTTATATTTCGACATGCAAATAAGAATGCCGAATGACAATTTAAGCTAGTGCAAAATGTCTTACTGAGGAAAGGAACATATAATACAAATTCTCCCTTATTAAAGACCACAGCTGGTCCTTCACATGCCATAAATGGTGCAGGCAGAAAGAGACAACAATGTTAGCATATGTGCACCTATAGTACGTGCAGCAGTTGTGAAAAGAGATTAAAAATAGCATAAAATAGGCATTTCCTTTTCTCAGCATACAATTGAAGTACATAAAAGGCACTACCTTGATTGAGGACCTCGGCTGCTGTGCCCTTGAATGACAAGAGTCTGTCCAAGTCATGATTAAGAGTAGAAGCATTGTTTGGTTGACATATGCTGGAAAATTGTAGCTGCCCATCAGTGCATCCTGCTTTATTTGACTTTGTCCAAGACTCTTTAGCTTGAAGAAGCTTGAAGCTGCCTAAGTTATTCCGTGGGAAACTTACAGTGGTTGTCACATGACCCAGAGGAGCTCGACCAAAAACAAGGTTCATCTGATGTCTATCATCTGTGTGGTACCACATTGTTATGAAACATATGTATCAGTCACTTTCATACAAGGTGAAAGGTGACAATCAAGGAATCTACAATCATGCAGCATATACAGTTTAAAAGAAACAATGTAAGAGCCTAAACTAACAAAGAAAAATTCCCAGAAAACAAATGTGATTATATCCAAAGTTTACAAATATACAATTGTCTCTACTCTCAAGTGGTATGAAACTGAAAGGGATAGAAAGATAGTACTAGTACATCGACCATTGGAAGTGCTAGTCATTCACATAGGTGCCCAGTTAACAATCAATTCAATCAGTTTCAGAAGATCTCCCACAGCAACATTCAGAAATAGCATTAGGCATCCATAAAATTTTCTGCCAACAAGTAGCAAGTGTACCATACATGTTATATCAGGCCTACAAAAGCCAATATTTAGTTGCTAATAGAGATTCACTGATATTCTCTATGGTTAGTTGAAATTAATGGACCTGAATTTGGTCAATCTAGTCCATTGAGGGTCCATATTCAGAGGCTTGGATGCACTACCCTACAATGTGCTCTCATATCATGTCCAACATGTTCCCGCAGAACAGCAGAACAAGCGGCTCTTTATATTGCTGCCGAACACAGCAGCACAAGTTGTGTCAGGTCATGCTGGTCTTGATGATCTGGTATCAACTTTAACCAGCTAAAAACTGATTGAATATTCAAAATAAGTAAAATGTTAGAAAAAAGACAGTGATCAGAAAAGAAAATGAAGAAAAGGTTCGAGTAAATGGGTCTAATAACAAGACAGTGAACCAGCCACTGCCATTGGCAAAATCGACAGTGTCAAGGAGCAAAGAAAAGAGTGAACCAGCTGCTGCCACAGTAGGCAGTGTTCAAAAAAAAGTTACCTAAATAGACTTAACTGATCAAAACCTTGACTTAAATCAAACTTCAGTAAAAAGATTCAGTTAGACCCTTAGGTTGAATCCAGGATGCATCAAAATGGCAGGGCACCATACATAACTGAAGTAGACAGTGAACAATATGAAACCAAAATAAATAAAGTACCTGCATTATGTACATAGAAGCTATCCATGTGAAATGCTCAGAATTAAGACCATTGGTGCAATTACTGCAACTTAAGAATCCATCTTAGCCCAGTTATTTAACTTAAAGCAAGAAAAATATAATATTAAAAGATCCACTAGTTGCAGAAAAAGAAAAGTTCCAACACCAATTTAGGAAAAGAGACAGTTCAAGAGCTAGTGATAGCAACTTGCTCTTAATCATATGTATGGATCAATTTCTTTAGTAAAAAAAAAAATGTTCTTTTGAAAAACCATCAAACCTATCGATCAAAAATCTATTTTTCTTTACAGGAAATGAGACACAACTGCTTGAAGCTAGCATATGTTAGAGAATCAAGATTAACTGTTGTTGCAACTTGTAAATTTCAGGGGCTAAAAGTTGAGTAATACCATAATATGATGAAGAAAGCCTAGAAGAATTGAATGAGATTGCTGTTGGCTGTGGCTTTCTGCGACGTGCATTATGATCTGATAAACGTCTTCGGCAACTCCGCTTTTTCTGATCAAACTCGGACAAATCATGGAACCTGGAAGATGGCCAACACTATTTTCAGACTTTTTGACTTTGTCAACTAAAATCATTGAAGAACATTATGCCAAACATAATGATGCAACCATATATCTGGAGAGCATCATAATCCTACAAGACAATACTATAACCAGAATACACTTCCATATAATAATACCCTAATCCAGAGTTATTACTATTTATCATCATTCTTGTTAAGATCTCAAATCCTCTATCATTTGGCTCCGAGTGTTTTATTCACAATAGCCATCTAAGTGTGTTCCCTCAAAGTAATAGCCATCTAACTGAAAATAGCTTCACCTGCTACACTGTTGACAAAACCTGCGCTCTTTACCAGCTACAATCACCTTGGGAGACTTTGAGTGGCTTTCACAGACTCTATGTTTGCGATGATAGTCTTTCGCTGTTGTAAGGTCAATGTTACAACCCTCAACCTGGCAATAAGGACTCTGTAAGTTCTGTTGAGACACCCTAGATTTCTTGGCTAAGGCAGCCGATGAGGTCATAGTAGCTGAGGAAGACAAGTTTTTGATGTTGTTCACTGAAGCAACATCTTCGAAGTAAGTTGGCCCAAGCTTTAAACCTGTAAGTGGTTCCTTAGGGTGGTCTGCAACGACTGGTACAGTCGAAGTTCCAGAATCCTCAACCCTTGCAATAATATTATTGTCCAGGTTATGAGGGGCCCTTCCAGCGGAATCAAAGTTGAGCTGTGATTTTCTCTTTCCTGCCCCAGAAAGGGAATCAACAGATGCTGAGATGGAGCTTTTGGATGAACGATTACCCAATTCCAGAACAGAGGAGGCACCACGACCAGACGAACATACAGATCTATTGCAAATAAAGGCACCACCATCAATCTTCAAGTCAGGTACTTGTGCAGCTTTAGAAATTTCACTTTCTTTTCCACTGAATAATTCCAGAGTTTCCCAATACCAGGGGAACGGAGTTTTCGGAACCCAGTCCATCAAAGAAGCACTTGTAGCAAGATTTGAAGTATTATTCTGTTCAAGAGGTGAAAAATAAATGCAGCATTAGGTGCTGGATCAGGCAAGGATAAATTCAACAAGAAACTCCCACACGGCTCAGGCAATCTGAAACAAGGAAGTTCATATAAAAAAATTCCAGTGGACTACGCTGTGACTTCTTCCATCCTAATAACCAAAGCTTGTGAAAGTGAACTGTAATTAAAACTTCGTCGAAGGAGGAAGAAAAATTTTTACCTCCAGGAGTCATGCCAGGATGCAATCGATCTCCAGACGCATCGACAGCCAAAAGCAGTACGTGTTCATTAAGAAGATATTGAATCCCAACGCTTGTATTCCTCAGTCCCGGATAAAGCAAGTTCCCTTCACCGAGAATAATGACTGAGATGCATATGGAAGTTACTTTCACTTTCTTTTCTTACAGCTGAAACAAGAACGAAAACACAAGAAACAAATTCCCAGATATATTGGTTTAATCTGCCATAAATCTGTTCAAAGCCCGTACCATCGTATAGTCGATGAAGGAATTAGCACAACAAGTTTGATGCTCCCGGAAAAGAAACCAACACTAGGCTTTTCCCTCTCTATCAAAGACTTAAAAGTTCGCCAAATTTTTGTTTCACTCAAAAAAGACTTCTTATTGTTCTACCACGAACCATTCTTCAGATTTGAAGACAAACGAGCAATAAAAAAGTCAACTTGGGGGGACGAGATCTGACTTCCTACTCTTGGATGGTCGACGGTGGAATTGATTGAAATGGAGAAAGGCGCCACTCCTTTTATTTCCTTTCATTCGAGCCTCTTCACCTTCTCCATCGGTTGACGCACCAGTACATCGGGAAACACACAAAAAACGAGATCTTGAGGAAAAGGGTTGCCGCAAGAACAGATCAAACAAAGCGACCATTCGTGAAATGCGAAGACGGAAGCCGGTACACGCACATGGAACCACGACAGTGAGGTTCTGTGCCCTTTCTCCCCATTTATTACCGCAGTCACCCACCGAACAGCAGATAGAAAGGAACTAAACCTTTTTTGCCCATGAAAGCAACTAAACACAATCGTTCTCGCCACCAAAAAAACGTCGACAAATAAACGGAACGAAAAATACATCATTTCCGAACTACAATTTTTTGTTCCTTTACTGTTGAGCTGACCGTCTATGGTTCAGCGAGCTTCAACAGCTCATAACCCTTTTTTTTTTCTTTTAACCTAATCTTAATTCATTTTATGAGGGTGTATGATAACTGCAAAAATAAGCAGGACAACAACGAGGATAGCATGGGTGATTAGCAAAAATGAGGAGAAAAAATTAGAAATCCAAAGAAAAAAAAAAAGAAAACAAGAACAACGCTAAATCATCCGGTAGTATTTTTATTCTAGATTAGATCAGATCTATCTGGTATCCCAATTATTTTCTTGTGATTGTTATTAAGGTTTTAAATAAAAGATTAAGATTTGTATATTCTTTATTCTTATATAGTAGATTATCTCTAATTTGTCCTATGATTTTTATCATTCGAACAAAATTTTCACCTATATCTTAATGTTATTATGATTCTATTTAATTTTAATACATGTTAATATTTATTCATATACAAAAATTTAATTTTATTTTATATTCACACATTTACACTTCGCATACACTCACTAATCCTGCTTTCAAAGGATATCAAACAGATCACCGGAGAAGATGCGATTGGATTATGTTCTTGGTTAAAAACCTCCATCTTTTCTACCCAATCTTGATACGAGAATAAAAGCGACTACTTTTTGCGTCCGCATCGCGTAGGCAAAAAGAACACACAAAGTAAGTCCAAAATCCAATTTTTACGAAGGACAGAAAAAGAGAACACCGATGAGGAACTAAAAAGGAGTCGTCTTTAACCCTAATTATTAATTCCATCCCAAGTTCCAACTGGGAGTGGTTGGGACATTGAAATCGGAGCCGTATGCGGGTGCAGCGTTGAAATGAGAGCGGAAACTGCAACCAGAAACACACCTTTAGGCACTGGAAGCGATCGCGTGCGGACGCCTGGGGAGCTCCGGATCTCTCCTCCCTTCTCTCTGCGGCACCAAGAGCGGCACCCCTCACTTTTTGTCTCGAGACAGAGAGACGAGATGGTTAGGCAAAGATGGCAACTGCGATGTGTCGAAGGAGAGAGAGAGAGAGAGAGGATAGATATATAACTGATAGAAGGGTATCATCGGAAATCACAAAAGAAAGCAAGAGTTCGACTATAAAGAACAATTGGCCTCGTACTTGAATATAATTACAATCTTAACCAATCATTACTACACATTATTAGTCGGGATTTGGTCACCCCTTTCAGAGGGGTTATGGTGCTTCCGGGGGAAGAGAAGATGACAACTCCCAGAGAAGAAGAAAAAGAGAAGTAACTTTCTGAAAGGGAAAGACGAGAGATAAATGACAGCTTCGAAGCATGCATGCATTAGTGGATCTAAAGTAATTTAATTTCTCTAAACATGAGAAAGAAGAGAATTTCCAAACGTAATCTGGTGAGTGTTGACTGTTGATATATGATCATATTCTTGTTCTTGAGGGAAAACATGGTTATGAACAGGATATCCGGAGGTGCAAGTCAAAAGTTGTTGCTTTGGCAGACATCTAATTTCTAGGTTTTGATCCTCTTAGGGAAAAAGACAGGATGAATGATGAATCACATGGTTCATAAGATTATCCTGTGTCCAAGATATGTTTCTGGTTGAAGTCTCACTTGTGGCTTGTAAGCAGTATCAGCCTGCCGCACATAAAAGATGTACTACTGCACCACAAAGAACTCAATTGTCAACCCTTGTGTTCTCTGCGATGAGGATGAAGAAGCTAGAGATCACCTGTGGTTTTGTTCATATTCTGAACATTGAACTCTCAACCCGAGGATCCTCATAAACATTCTTCCCATCATACACAAGAGTGGCTAGCACTGTCTTAAACTGTTTGGTTGGAGACAATGGCACGTGGAATACTAGGCAGCAATGCCCAGCAACCTGTTCATGAGTGTGAGAGCTAGTTTGGGTGGGTTGACTAATTTAACCCATCTGACTGTTCATACATGTCAGATCAACGTGTGGTAGTTCAAAGACTATTCAACTCATCTAACTCGGGTCCTCAAAGACACACGAAAAGATTTTAATGTCATGTCTTCATGATGAAGCATCAACAGCAAAGTGTGGGCCGAGGAGCCATTTTGCAGTGTTTGTTCATTTGGAGGCTCTTTCTTCTGTCATTTTCTCGTTGCCCAAATACAAAGAAGTTATGGTAAGCATCAAACAAAGCATGTAACAGATGCCAGCGTCGTTTAAGATGAGATTGGTGAACACGTCTGCTAAGTTACAAGATGAGACATGTGGATCAAACCTATGACCTTTTGACGTTGTTACTGGTTTCCTCTCGATGCTGAGAAGCTGAATCTAGCATTTGTTCTCCCCAGCAAGCAGTAGCACTTTGTGTTATATCTCGAGCTTGGAGCGAATCAACATATTTATGTGTTGGAATTCATGACCTAAACCTTGTTCATTATAAGCACTTAAGATGCAGCTACCTTGTGTACTGGTTGTTGACCTTCTTGAGCTTGGAGCTAATAGGATGCAGCTACCTTGTCATCCTGAGCCTCCTGTCCACCATCTCTCTCTCTCTCTCTCTCTCTGGTTGCTGCAATCTCCCCTACTTCCTGATCAGACATCAGGAGATCTGCTGCATATGATTGTTGAGACCTGTGAAACTAGCAATTGTTGCATAAGTCATCTAAAAGGACTGTAACCATGATCACCACACTTCAAGGAACAACAGCTTCCTTGACCACAAGGTGAGACAGATGGGTTCTAGCTACTAAAAATATCATCAACATAATTGCAGAAGATTAGCAGTACCCAAAAGTATTAGCTAGTGGGCACCATGTGTTGGGAAAGGGATACAATTTTTAAGATGTTCTACAATTAAACAAAAATAAAAAATAAATAAATCAAGGTAACATGTAAACTATGGGCTCCACAAGCAACAAAAATATACATGATTACTTGTAGATCAATTAACTGTCTATTATGAGGTCAAGACGGATAGAAATAATAGAAGATAAGAACAATAATTAAAGAAGCTTTATTGTAGAAATGAAATAAGCTTTAGCTTGAATCTATTAACATATTCCCTCTCCTATTTATACAGATTAGGAGGAAGGATTTCCCTCAACAGAATAAACAGAATAGAGAGATTTCCTCATATAATTGAGAAAATCTTATCCTCTATCAAGTTGGGAAAATCAGGAAGATACTTCTCATCTTTCATAGAAAAGTAACAAAAGAATGCTAGTATGTGTAATCTGGAAGTACAAATAATATGGCTGTTATGGAAGCAACATAATTGTCAAAAAAAAGGAAAAGAAACAACCCTAGTTTTCTGTATATTAGCACAGAATCACATCAGTCCCAAGCATCATAATAACAAAGATCATATTTATGATCCTTAGCTGGAAAGGTTTTGATCGACTCCATGATCTGATCCACGATATAACTATGTAAGATGTATTTCGACGTCTCCGGTGACACCTGTATGGAGATTCCCTTCCATCGAAATCAAGTTTGGTTTCTTCTTTTTGCTGTGGTACTTCGTTGCACAGTACCACTTCCAACTTCTATGTGAGCTTAGTTTGGCTCTGAACAACAAGTGCAATAGTATAAATGATAGTGATACATGAACTTTTGTGCGCATGCATGATTGTGAAATTGCTCTTTAACAGCAAGTGCAATAGTACAGATGATAGTGATACGTGATCTTTTGTGCGCAAGCATGATTGCGAAATTGCTCGGTAATAGTTATGGAAAGTCTTTCTCTACTTATTGAGATAAAGCGACACACTTAGACTCTACTTAAGTATCACACAATTATATATTATCTTTTGTAATTAATTATAAATATTGAGATCCCAATTAAAAAGATAATTTCACATAATTAAAAATCAAAAGAGATCAATTTTATTGGAGCAACGAGATTAAATATTTCACTTTCATAAATATAAGGATCTCAATATAACTTTTGAAATTGCAGGGGCCGAGATGCTAAAATTACTAATTATGAGAGTAATATGTAATAATCCATATACATTAAACTATCTTATCATGATTTATCTTCTAAGTCTGAATCATGATATAATGTGTTCCGTGATCTTTGATTTCTTATATGCGGAGATACTTTTTCATTAAAATCAAGATTAGTTTGTTCGTCATCTTGCAGTATTATCTATACAACAACACAACTATCAACCTCTATAAGAACTTATTTTGGCTCTTAAATGATAAGAACAATAGTGGATGGATATGATAGTGATACATGAAATTTTGTGCAAGCAGGATTGTGGGATTATATCTTTTCAAATCTAAGTGATTAATTATTGAGCATCTGTTATTTATAGAGATAAGATGACACACATAGACTTCAATTATAATTCTCATATATCCAAACACTCTATCGTGATGCATGAAATTTATATAAAAATATATAGTTCTTGTAACAAACAAATTCCCTCAACTCTTGTAATCTCATTCGATGATAATGTAGAAAATAGCACACTCGGACCGCGTTGCGTTGGTTTGGCTACTTGTCGATGCTCCTTAATCAAAGAATGGGTAGCTGTAGTCAAAATCGGAAAATGATAGTGTGCTTGTACTGCTTGGCACAGGCCAATCTTTCAAGATTGGTTCTGATTCTGGAAGAGAAATGATTAAGTGCCTTGCATGATTGATCGGGTGGCAACGCAAATTGTTTCTGGACCGGTCATGGGGAAAACTAATAGAATAGTTTGGTTAATGTTCATGTCCACCCCAAATTTAGCCAACTTGTAATCACACAACGAAAGTTGCTATTACCATTAGTAATGTGATGTGAAATGGAAAGAACTTCAGAAATTTTTTAACCAAAAACCAATAAAAAGATTATTATTTTTTAGTTGAAATTGGTTAAATGACAGATCATAGTTTCTTTTCTTAAATTATATGTTTTTTTTTAATAATAGTTCCTAATATTAGATGATGAAACCTTATTTAATTGATAAGATATATTATAGACTGATTGGATTCTAATGAAAGTTATAGCTAATAGACTAATAAAAAGGAAGTCTATATTAAAGTAGAATTCTTTAGGAGATGTCCTTGATACGAAGAACTCTTATCCGATATCCTTGATGGATTGG